CACTATTGATGATGATTTGATATATTAATTTATCATGATAATATGATCATATGGTATTTTTTACCTTTCGCATTAACATAATGTCAATGTCATGTAGATATAAAATTAACTAGCGACAATTAGTCAAATATTATTTATAAAGACTTATTTAACTCAAAATAAAAGTACAAAAATTTAATTAAATATAATAAAAGAGTAAGGGTTTATTCAAATTTTTTTAAATAGTTTAAAAGCTTATTTGAAAATTATACGGAAATTACAAAATATACTTATCTATCTTTTTATTTTGAAAGTTATCATATCAAACTATATATTATTTTTTTTAATTTAAAAAAAAAAAGAAAATTTTGATCTAACAAAGATATATGTGTATATATATATATATACACACACACACACAAATCATTAAATCAAATGTTAATGTACAATTATAGTTTCCTTAGATATAAATTTGCTCTAAACCAAATTATTAATGCCGATTAAAACAAGTGCTTTAGTTTAAATAATAATCATCGAAAGCTTAATCTCAATTTAATTTTTTCAAAATTGAATTTCCTAGTTTATGTAGTTCAACAATCAACAAACAAAAAATACATATTAGTAATATATTACACTTTTCATCTCTATCAGTACATTTAAAAGAGTTTATAAAGGAGGTTTAATGCAATGTTGGTGCTAGAGACTAGCCATTGCGCTTGCTCATCAATATTATGCATCAATTCAATTGGCCAAACTCCCGCTTGGGTACCAAATTAACCGAAAATATTAGAATCGGGAGTTTAATCAAATAAAAAATATTAAAATCTTTTTTTTAAAAAAAAGGAAAGAGTTTAGATAAAATAAATATTGCTTAACAAAGTAATTATTCTTTATTTAGTCTCAATTTAATTATCTAACATTTAACATGATAGAGTTTAAAATAATTATTCTTAAGAAAGAGATTTTTCTTATTTTTTCATGTGTACAATTTCTAAATAAATTAAAACTCTTATTTCATCATATAATTCCTATATACAACTTAAATAATAATATAATAACATACTCTGTATCACTCAATTTCTAGATATTCTACTCTCCAATTCTTTCTCTTCAACCATGCTATTAACTTTGGGCATCATTATGCTTGCATTACTGGGGCTGATATTTGCAGCAATTTTAATTTCCACCTTTTTTATTTGCTGCAACAAAGCCTTTAGAGAACGTCTATGTGGTCCTCTCCACGTTATTGAAACCGGGCAACAAGGCAATCCAGTACAGCCACCGGAGAAGCAGCAGGGTGTGATGCCGATCTTAGCTGGGAGCGTTATTATCTACAAGAATGGAGAAACCGAATTAAATTGCACCGACTGTGCTATATGCTTGGAAGAATTCAAGGAAGGGGATCGTTGTAGGGTTCTTTCCACGTGCAAACATCTATACCATAAACTTTGTATAGATCAATGGCTGGTTAAGGATAGGCATTGCCCACGTTGTCGTGGTTCTGTCCACGGTTTGGAACCAACCACTGATCAGATTGTAAGCAGTTCTTAGAATATTTGTATTAGTTAAAGGCCAAAGAAGTAGCTAGCTTGAGTTCTAGGCAGAAGTCGCCGTTTTGGACCATTGGTTCATGGGTTTCGTTGCGCATGCAGCTGGTCGCCATAGACTTGCCAAAGAATGGCTCGAGCTTTGGAGTTTCCGACCAACGTCGCATACAATTGCCATTTAGGTTTGTTTTTTTTTTTGAGCTTTGAAGTTTGAACATATTCAAGTCTTGTTGATTGTTTTCAATATTGTTTTTTTTTTTTTAAAGTTGATTGTTTTCAATATTGTTGCTGTACTTAATTGAATATTAAGTCATTAAAAAATTTAATTTTGAGAAATTTTGTGATGGATCAATTAATTTATCAAATTAATTTTTGTTTAGTCAAGTAATTCGGTTTTACCCAAATTATGCACATCCCTACTTTTCCCTTCCTTTCTCTCCCTTATTCTCACTCTCTCCCATTTTTTTCTCTAACCAAAACAAAATTTGAAACACCAAATATGCCAAACAAATAGCAATCAAAACACACCTTAAACTATTCAAAATTATCCTAAATCCTTCTAAAGTGTCTGAGATTAAGATATAATCTGCAAACTATCGACAATATCCTTGATTTTGCGCACATTTGTAGCACATTTTCATATTGGTAGATATGAATTTTCCTTTTACAATTGTCTCTATAATATTATTAATTTTTGAGGAATTAAAATATAATTATATAAATAGTAAATAAGAAGTAGTAAGCAAATGAAAACGAAGGGTGGGATGGGATTCGTGTATAGGTGTTAGATTCAAGTCAAAATACTGTTTCTTTTTTGTGAACCATGGGAAAATCAGAACTAGTTACATATTTTTTAAAAGCAGTGGTTTTATTATCCACCCAATAACTATCATGCCACCTCAAAGTCCTAAACTGTGTAACTCAAGAGACATTTAGTGGCATAAAAACTCTAACTTTGGTTGTAACATCATATCTTTAGCTGCTCCAAAAGCAATTGGCAGCACAAACACAAATACGAAACTCCCTATACAGTTATTAGTTTCTCTGTACTATCAACACAGAGCTCACTTTCACTCAATCCTAATTGGTTAGAACTCTTTAGAGATCAAGACCCTATACTCAAAAATAAGACCGGTCTCTTCTCAGAAATCAGAAATCAGAATAACACTTGTATGCATCAAATCAAACAATTCCACAAAACAAGTAAAGGGTATCGTTTTGGTGGCGGGGAAAAGGGGGTGGAGCTCCAAAGAATAAGATGAACTCTAATTCAAACCTTAGTGTAAACAGACAAAGTTACTTGCAGGGATGTGCATGTTCATGGTAGACTCTTGCGGGAGACATTGGATAAGATGAGTTCAAAGTACTATAAATAGCAGAAATCCGTGAGCTCAGCTCATTAACAAGTTAATTTCTGCGATTAAATCTCCAAACATTATTTCATCATGTGATCTAGAGCAAATTACAGCAACCTACCTAGAATTTCTTGGTGCATTTCTTCTAGCAGTATCTCACATAACCAGCTGCTTGCTTCTTATCTGCAACAACAAAATTAATACCACTTTAGAATTTAGCATCAGAAACAAATTCGATCCACAACAAATTGACTGCTCATTAAGTGAGCAGTGAATGGAAGGAATTTATTCCAGATTTCGAAATCTGGGGCATGGACTCTGCACAAGGACTAGTGCACTTGTAGATCAAATGAGAGTAGAGAAGCAAGCATTTAAGCTTACGGAATTTGTTACATAAACTACCAAAGATAGTAACTTTCTTTGTCATACACTTTGTTCTGCAAGTGTTTTCTGGAATCAAAGGACATTTTAGAGAAAAAGGAGGTTTTGAAGGCAACCCGAAGGCGAATCTAGAGGAGTTTTTGGACCTTGTAGAAGCATTGCACTATCAGACTCTGTTTCCAGAGGCACAGTGGCTTCTTCAGAATCTTCAGGAAACAAAGTTTCTCAAGGCATTAAGGTTTTTGCTTTGTAGGTACAAGAAACTTAGAGTAGGAGGCGACTCAGATTCTTGTCGTCTGACCTGTAACATTTTGCTTTGTGCTCCATGCAATCCCAAATAAAAATCTGATACCCGTGGGCTGAACTGAGGAAGCTTGAAACTATCATGACATTTTCCAGTTTAATTTGCATATAACTATGTACAAGAAACTCAACATAAGAGGGGCCACTTGCACTCTTGTCTTCCACCATGCATGAAGTACAGCATTCCTGAATATGTAACCATCAAATCCTGAGAGTGTCTTAACACTGAGCATCCCAAAAGCATACATTAGCTGTAGCAGCAAAAGAACCAATCAGAAGCAACTATTGAAATTTACAATAACACAATGAACACTAACCCAACTTCACGAATACATCATATTTTAGTAACTAGAATATCAACATATCACTTGAAGATAAAGCCTTGAAAAACCTGTATATCTAATCCCAATAAGTTTCAAACTGTTGCTACAAACCGCCATCAACCATCAGTCTAGTATATCAGAAGCAAAGCTATATAGAATACTGTTGTCCAAGAATCACCTACGATCACCACATTGGCCAGCCACGACTGCTTAGATCACAATCAGTTGTTACTTGGACCTTGGTTAATCCTTACAAGAAAATTGAATAAACACCCTCTTCACTGAATCAGGGTCACTAGAATTACGAACCAACATAGTTCCATTTCATAAATATATTAATATGATTCTCTACAGTCAATACAACAGTTTTGTTCAAGAGTTGGTCCCACATTCCTCCCTTCCTGTCTGTACAGCCAAAACGGTCATGTTAGCAGGCAGGCAGTTCTGTGAATAGAGTGCAGATGATCATGCGGCCTCTCCTTTAGGCTTTGGCAACCAATTCCAAACAGTCAACGAGCTAGTTGCGTTGCCTGTGAAGAAAAGGCCACACGGACCTATTTGAATCACACCTACTTCTCATTTTGAAAAATAGAAAATGTATATAGTTTTTTAATTTAAATTTATTAAAGATAACACATTCGTTACACAACCTAGGTGCATGTCCGCTATAGCAACGAAGACCCTGGAAAAAGGATGAAAACATCATCCAACCAGGGCGGTTACCCTATAGCACCCTAAGAAAACAGAGTACATAGACTCGAATACAAATACAAATCCAGATATTCAAGAGAAAAGCATCCTGGCTTTCTAGGAAATAATCTCGATAAAACAGATAAGACCTCGCCAAACTCTGTAGTATCACAACTTAATCACTGCATCAAACACCCAGCGGGAAAGCCAAGAGTAGCATCACGACAGAATTAATAATCACCAACTGAGGGAAAATAAACACAAACAACCAAAATATTGAAGTTGAGCAAATAAATGATCCAAAACTCTAATTGAAATTAAACTTTACTCAGAGTTGATTAACAGAGAATGAAGAAACTACATCAGATTACCATAAAAAAAACTACGAACAAAACTTGATAAAGAAGAAATAAAAAAAAAGGTTAATTCCTTGCAACTCGGTTAAGGACAGCAAATTGAAATCTTGAATTGCATGTGTCCCAGTAAAGGCCAATTTCGTCCCCCAGCTTCAGTTCCCTCCTCTTCACGAAGTCCTTGACCCAATTCTTGATAAGCACGTTGGCCCCCTTGTTCCACTGCTTGAAAACCAGCTCATGTTCAGTATTTGTATCGCAATCCCACACAGAAACTGGCAACCCTTCCTTAACTTTTGCAAGTTGATCAGCAGTCCAGAATGGAAAAACATGATGTTCTACGCACTCTGATGCCAGCATGAGCCTAGACATGTTGCCAAGATCACTTCCAGTAAGCGTCTTTTTAATGCACCAAGGATCATGGCCGAGCCTCAATTCAGTCAAAAACAACATACTCGCTTCTTTCCTATCAACTTTAATTCTCTTGTTTCTGCAGGACGAAACTCTTCTTGCACTGCTAGGATTCTCCATTCTCTCTCTCTTCTTGGAAGTGCAAGTACTATCATTAAAACCCAGACTCAGTTGCAAAGAAAGACCTCCAACCCTATGCTCATGTTCTTTTCTTTGATATTGCTTGCTACATTCGCCTATTTCAAACCTCTCCTGCTTCCCTTCATCAGTTGCATCACTCTTTCCTTTGAACATAAAAGTATATTCCCCTGATGGAGACAATCCTAATGAAGCATCGCTCAGTTCCAGAGAAAGACCATCGCTTTTCTTCTCCCAGCAGTTATCTTTTCTTTGATGTTCATAGCTATTACTCTCCCCAACTTCAGTGCTCTTCTTATCTTCTTTTCCCTTATCTCCAGAACTGGACATATAGTCACATGAAAGAGACAATTCCAAGGAAAAGTTGCTCTCTTCACCAATGGTGTCTTTTTCTTCTAGCATGGTGTTGGCTGGAGAGAACAAAATCAAAGCAAAATTAAAGGGCTTTAAACCCATTCTTGAAGAAGGCAAGCACCAAGGAAACAAACTCCTCTCTTTCGGGGTTCAAATGCACAAACCCTTCTTTGATGAAGAATAAAAAAGAAAGAAAAACGAAGCAAATATAATTGAAGTTTACCGCCATGGTGTTGTAAAAATTATAATCTGAGAGATTGCAGAATCTTGGAAAAGATTGACACAATCTTAACTCAAGAATTGCTTTCTTACCAAGTAAATAGGCAACTGAAGCTCCCCATGAGTCCTGAATAGGCAAGTGAACGTTTATTGGGAGTTTTAATGGGCTCATGTAGAGCCAAACGATTATTCGGGCTGGGACACCCAATTTCCGCAGCTTTATTAAATTAAACCTCTACATGAAACAAGTGTGAACTATGTATGGGGCAGGCCTAATTCAGGCTAAGCCTTACCAATAATGCAATAAAAAAAACTTTTATCTTAAGTTTAAAATGATGCTAGTATTGCTGTATTAGCATTATTTTATTTATATATTTATAATAAATTATTTTCAAACAAAGCTTTTTTATTAATAAAATAATCGTCTGGTTGGGCTCGGCTCTTTACCGGCCAATAGTAAACAGGCCTAATTGTTGCATATTTTACTGATATGCGAGGTATGCTGTTACTTGTGTCTCTAATATTCAAAACTTGAGGCCGTTAGTTGGCTGATGGCTTAATTCCTCTATGCTTCTTTCACATCAGTGGTCATTTGTTTCTTGTTCTTTACTGTTTTTTCAGTGTGTTGCTTCAACTTTCCATTTTTTTCTTCTCATATGCTTACATGACACTTTAGAATGGTCATGGATATGTGGTTTAGGAAAAAAGAAAATGCTCCATTGCTGTTACTTATCAGAAATAATGGGCCTTCTTATTTGGTTTATTTACAAATTTTTGTTCATTGTGTCGATTCAATCATAGTGTGGGACAATAAATGTTGGACGGATTAGCAGTTCTCTTCTCTAGGGAATATTGATGGCATCTGCTTCAGAAACATGCCATGTCCCATCTTCACACTCGAGTCTGAACATATAGGTTTCATTAGAAACATGTGCAAATCCCCCTAGCTTTGTTGGGCCACACAGAAAAAGATATCACTCTTCCATCTCGTAAACTCTTTTAGAGACCTAGCAATCTACTTTATCTCCCCTTTTTTGATGAAAGAAATTCCATTGTCATGGGTTTGAATAAATTGGCTTTATTGCTCAATTGAAGGTCGCAACATAATAGAAACTGTAAGGGTTTTTTTTTAGTATCTGAATCAAGAATATGAAGCAATGCCAAAATTTGTTTGTCAAGGTATTGTAAACTGGTGCAGAAAGGTTTTTGCAGATTTTTAACTACTTTGAATATATCAGCAACTTTACCACCAGAGTTTTCCAAGTTTCGACACCTGAAACTGCTGTAAGCAAATCCATTTGTCTAGTTGACTTGAACTATAATAATATGATTTTTAAAAAAAAAAATTAGATAATGATTTGGTGTTTTTATTATTAATCCTTCTTTATTTCTGCTTGTTTAGAGACTTAAGTCGCAACTACTTCACAGATTCTATTCCTCAAGAATGGGCTACCATGAAGTTGGAAGTGCTGTAAACATCCT